GTCCATACACAAAATGGTTTGGTAGAATCGTTTATTAAACGTCTACAACTTATTGCTGACCATTACTTATGAAAACAAAACTCCCAACTTCTGTTTGGGGTCATACTATATTACATGTTGTATCATTGGTTTGTATTAGACTAATTGCCTATTATCAATATTCACCTTTGTAACTAGCATTTGATCATGAACCTGATATTTTTCACCTACGGGTTTTTGGTTGCGCAGTCCAAGTCTCCATTTCACCCCCATAACATACTAAAATAGGTCCCCAATGAATACTTGGGATTTATGTGGGTTTTGATTTACCATCAATTATTAGGTATCTTGAATCTTTAACGGGTGATTTATTTACTGCACGTTTTACAAAATGCATTTTGATGAAATGACTTTGCCAACTCTGGAAAGGAAAAAACTACATTCTGAAAAACAGAGTTAAATTTCTTAAAATGAAACAACTCTATCTCATTTTGATCCCCGTAGCAATGAATGTGAGTAAGAGGTTGAAAAAATCACTCATTTGGAAAGGGTTACAAATCAATTACCTGATGTATTTGTTGACACAAGAAAAGTGACAAAATCATATGTTCCAGCAGAAAATATTCCAACAAAAATTGATATCCCTATAGGACAATCTGATGTAGCAAATGATCTCAAACACGCCAGAAGCGTGATCAACCAGTTGGTTCAAAAGACTCTGTACCTTAAAAAAGAAAAGTACATGAGAAAAACTAATCAAAAACTTCGGAAGAAGTCACATTAGAAAAGATTGTTCAATCAGATATTGAAAATACGGTTCCTGAAGAACCACAAGTGTCTGAGAATAATGAGATTTCAATAAATTATATATTATCTCATAAATTATGGGAATGAAATAATGTTATTATAGACAATATTTTCGCCTTTTAATGTGGCTCTTGATATTATGCAAAGTGAGGATTCTGAACCACAGTCGGTTAAAGACTGTGAAAATAGAAATGATTGGACAAAATAAAAAGAAGTCATACAGGCGGAATTGAATTCCTCGGAGAAACAATAAGTGTTTGGACCTATAGTTCGAACACCTGAAAATGTAATCCCTGTTGGATACAAATCGATTTTTGTACGAAAGAGGAATGAAAATAATGAAATTACAAGATACAAAACCCGACTAATAGCTCAAGATTTCTCACAAAGATCAGGAATTGATTACGATGAAACATATTCTCACGTAATAGATACCATCACTTTTAGATTTTTAATTAGTTTGACTATATTACAAAAGCTTGATATGCGCCTTATGGATGTACTCACTGGATATTTGTATAGTTCACTTGATAGTGACATATATATGGAAGTCCTTGAAGAACTTAAGGTACCAGGAACAAACGATACATGCCCGAGAACCAAGTTCTCAATTAAATTGCAAAGATCATTATATGGATTAAAACAATCCGGATGCATGTGGTATAATCGCCTTATCGAATATTTGTTAAATGAAGGTTATAAAAATGACTATATCTGTCCATGTGTTTTCATAAAGAAAACAAATAGTGGATTTGCAATTGTGACAGTTTATGTTGATGATTTAAATTTAATTGGAACTCCTGAAGAGCTCAACAAAACTACTTATTATTTGAAAAATGAATTTGAAATGAAGGATTTGGGAAAAATTAAATTTTGTCTCGGATTGCAAATTGAACATTTCGCAGATGGATTATTTGATCACTAATCTACGTATACAGAAAAAGTTTTAAAATATTTTTATATAGATAATGCACATTTATTGGCATTACCTATGGTTGTTTGATCACTTGATGTGAAAAATGATTCATTTCGTCCACTTGAAGATGAAGAAAATGTTCTTAGTTCTGAAATATCATATCTTAGAGCAATTACAGCATTAACTTATCTTGTAAATTGCACTTGACCTGACATAGTTTTTTCTATAAATCTCCTTGCAAGATATAGTTTTATACCAACTCAAAGATATTGGAATGGTGTTAAACATATTTTTCGTTACCTAAAGGGTACTATTGATTTGTAATTATTTTATTCTCAAAAGTCGGGATCTACTTTAGTAGGATATATAGATGCAGGTTATCTATCTGACCCACATAAAGCTAAATCACAAACAGGTTATATGTTTACACGTGGAGGAACGGCTATATCATGGAAATCTGTGAAACAATCCTCGACAGCAACTTCTTTAAATTATTCTGAAATTATTGCAAACCATGAGACAGGCTGAGAATGTGTATGGTTGGGAAATATGACCCATCATATCTAAGCATCATGCGGATTAATTTCAACAAATGATAGTCCAACAATTTTTTATGAAGACAGTACAGCTTGTATTGCACAACTCAGAGGAAACTATATTAAAGGTGACAGGACGAAGCATATTTCTCCAAAATTCTTTCATACACACGAGTTTCAAAAGAATGACGACATCGATATCCAACAAATTTCCTTAAGTGACAATGTGACCGATTTATTCACAAAAGCACTGCTAATATCTATATTTAAGAAATTAGTTCATGGGATTGGAATGCTTCGACTCAAAGATTTTCAGTAATCAATATTAGGAGGAGTAACTGTACTCTTTTTTCTTCGCTTAGATTTTGTCCCACTGGATTTTTCTAACAAGGTTTTAATGAGGCAATATTTATTTTTAGTACTCTAAAATAATTGTACTCTTTTTCATTCGTTTTGAATTTTTTCCCATTGAATTTTTATCAAACAAGGTTTTAACGAGACAGATATTTTGTAATGTGTTATTCAAGGGGGGTGTTGTAAAATGAAAGTTTATTAGGGTTTAGAGGTGAATGACAATTACGCCCCTGCAGCCTTAGAAATAATTACTGTTGTATCCCTGATTTTACCCTATAAATACATGAATTTGGTTATTAATAAAACATACACAAGTCTATTGACTTTTCTTTGTTCTCTTCTCTTTTCTTCACTTTCATAACAGTGACCAATTTTTTAATATATGATCAATGAATAAATTATAACCTATAAAATTTTTGATGTGTGATTGTAAAATAATTTGCTTTTTATAAAATTTTTGATCCATAATCAAGAAATCATTTGTGACCAAATGTGACCAAATTATATAAAATTGTGACTTTACTATATTTAATTAATAAAATATTAATTATTTCATAAATAAAAATTTAGTAAT